GCACGCTCGGTATCCATTTTTCACGGGTACAGCGAGATCTCCATATTGTGGAAAATCCTCCGGCACGATTGTTTCTTAATCCGTAATTAGCGAAATGCTGGATACGCAACACTCCGCGTTTGTTAACGCGGCACCCAATCGGAAACCGATTTGTCTATTACAGCGGATACTGCGGGAACGGCCGGCTGCCACATAGTTATCGAGTTTATGAAACCTTTTTGAATTTCCGTTGCACAATTTCCTCATTGACATTTATGAAGGCGGGCCGTAATACGGTTTCCAGGTTTTTCCTATGTTGAAAGTGAACCGCTAACGAAATTATTCAATGACAGAGTCCTCGGCGCACGTCCACGGTTCGACGCCGGAAGCGTTGGGATTTCAATGGCCGTGCGTTTCGACACCTAACGCCGCGGCAGCCTCATCATCATTATCGTCGATTGGTTTTCCGATTTTAACCCGGCAGTTTCTCGGACATCGATCGACGGATCGATCCGATTCGCTCCGGTCGCGAGCCGGTCCATTCGTTTGACGCGTGTAATCTTGTTTACGACTTTAAATGGTTCTTACAAGCGCGAGAGAAGCTTCGTTGCAATCGCGTTGAAATTATGGACCGATCGGTTGTCCAAGATCCGTCGAATTCGAGCGATTTTGTATTGTATACAAATTATTGATTTTCTTTTCGGAGATCCTCGTCGTTCTGATTATTTAACGCGTTGATTGTCGGTCGAATTTTATCCGACTCTTGGAATCTTCAATTTCGGCTTACACGATTTTGCAGCGGTCTTTTGAAGTGCATACCAAGTGGATCTAGATCCTTTTACACCTCGATTCTTTAACCCTATCTTTATGGGAGCATTCTAGCGTGAATCAGTGTCGAGTAGGCTTGAAATGAAACACTTGGAAAAGAGAACTCTAAGCCGAAGAATTTCATAAAATTATGGTTAAAATTAAATTAATTATTTCGTAAAGATATTGTCTACGAATCACAGAAGAGTGTACGGCATACGCTTTATTTAATAGAACAGGGATGAAATCTCAAAACGAGCCTCAAGTTTGGAAAAGCTAATTGGTATGTCGGTCACGTTTTACGGCTGCTATAAAGAATGAACTATTAAATCAGTTTATGTTCTGCGTGGATCAGTTCGGCTTAGCTCAGTGGACTGCCATAGAGTTTCCCATATATATTATTCGGCGTCGGTTAGGATTGTTTTATTTGGCCAGTTTGTATAAAAGACGATAAGTAAAATGTTACTTGTTGATTAGTATTGTTGTTAGATGCAAGAGAAACTTCCGATCATTTTCTTGCTTGTAAAACAGGAAACATTTTCGAAGGAATCGGATTACACATAATTGGTGGAATGAGTCAAAGAGATACATATATTGCGAACAAACATCTTGTTTTATTTTATTGCTTGCACAGTAGAAAAATTGAAGAGACATACCATATAAATTAAATTCACTACTAATAAATTAATTATGAGATACACACAGACTTCTAGGAACACGTGAGCGAATAAATATTTCGATTACCGTGCTGCGAGAGATAGAGAATCCAGGATAATTCGATAAATTAATGATACCGTTCACGACGGAAGCATACTAAAAGCCCGAGATTACGTTGCATTACGTTACTTTTCGTTGTTCTCGTTCTCGTGAAAATATCAATTGATTTTTTTCGGAATTTTTCGATTCCTGGATTATCCGAGGCGACACACCTGTTAACCTTGTAAACACTAATTTGATCTCCGCGCAACACGTTTATCGACAATACGAAGGCGTTCTATAAATAGCACGCGATAATTGCTTATTGCATAATAGTAATCTTTGAGCAAATCGAGATTCCGCGCACGGACGTCATCCAGCAAACAAGTTATCATTGTTAATCAATGCATTTACGGTTGTAATGACCCTCTGCGGGAGACGTCGACGACGCCCGATACGAATTTGTATTATATAAGTGGAAAGTTCGTGTCGCTTAAAAATAAACTGCGGATTTTACTGTGACAAATGTTAGAGCATTAATGAGAGCAGAAAAATTTACAGGCAAATGTTTGCCTGTGATCGTTTCAGACAATGTTGTCTATACACAGATGACGACGATCTTGTTTATGCAGACCCGCAGTCTATCGACGAACAATATCGGACGCCCGTGAACACAAAATTCGGCAGAATCGGAAGGTTTCGTAGAAAAATCTTTAAAAAAAAAACCACAGCGAAGCTTCGTATAAATATGCGTCGGTTGAATGCAAAAGGGGTAGCGATCAGCATTTCATAGAGCAGAAGGAACAAGTACTGCAAATTTTACAGGCTTTTTAACGCTTCGTATGGTCACTTCGTTGTTTGAGCAAATATCAAGTACACCTTACCGGCAGAGTGAACGAAGTAACCGATACGCTAAACGACTAATCTTCTATCGAAATGACGCGGAGCTTGTGCGCTCGCCCGGCGTATCACAATTTCTTTCAGTGAGTGAACACAGTTCTATGAGAGAAAGTGACTATGAAGCGATATAAATAATGCAATAATGGAATAAATAAAATAAATACGGAGATGTTGATAACAATGAAACTAAGGCACAGTCAAGGCGAAGGTTGAGATATGATCGATCCATGATCGAAGGTTTGGTCCGTAAGGCTCGTCATTGCGAGACGTCCATTTGCCGGCCGAGATCCGTGCTCGACTTTGGGAAAGCGAACACGCAGCCCGTGAACAGCTTTATAATCCCCATGGAGTCGTCGCAGTCCAGGGCGATGTTCCTGTAGGTCTGGACGCATCGGCCATCTCCGTACATCTTGTTGTGGCTGCACTTGATGTGCTGCAGGTGCCTCTTCACGCAACTGGTCTCTGCGTCCGAGACGTTCTCAACGGTGTAGCCGCACGCCGCGTCGTACCGCTTCTCGAAATCGTGCTCCTCGTACTCGTCCTCCGCGGACACCAAATTCTCGGGGATGGTGTGCCTCTTGTGGTGCAGGTGCGAATGATTGTGATGTCTGATGCGGTGCAACCTCGTGTCGCTGTTAGGCATGGAGGCTATTTGCACGGGGAGGAGTATCAACAACCAAAGGTAGGGCGACATTTTGCCGAGACGATCCTCTGTCCTTTTTTCCTTGAGCTTTTCTCTCCAGCCAATCGAAGCTGACCGCCACAAAGGATAATTGTCCTCCGAATAGATCAGTCCTCGACTTAAGAGAGCGGTCGTGCTTGCTGCACAATCGAGAGGGCAATTACGAGGAATTGGCGCGGCTTTGACGAGAGCCACCACAGGGGTTGATCCTGGAACCTTTGGTCGTGCGATTACGCTCGAAGATGCTGGCTTCTGGACCAAGGTAGATTACTGTCCTGAGTTCTTGCGCTTGTACTCTTCAGGAACCCCAGTCGACCAAGCTGGACAAGGCTGACGATAGAAGGTGTCGGATGGCTTGTTGAAAACTGAGCGACCAGCTAGGTCCAAAGGATTTTTTATCCTCCCGAAGAACAGGAGCAGGAGATACTCCCACTTGAGACTCGCGGCTGTCCACCCCGCTCCTCCCCTATTCCCAGCTGGTAGTCAGCCAAATTCCCACACCGTGGAATACGATGGATGCTTCATTCATGCGGCCCATGGACGGGTCCCCGAGGAGGGGTCTTGACGTCACTGATCCACGTTTCCTCTTACGAAGTCGCGAGACCGACACCGGGGACGTCATCGTTCCCCGCCGGAGGAGGAGAAATTGCTCGGCCGATCGGCCCACAGCCCGTTCTCGGTTCCCGGAAAATCGGGAAAAAGGGGAGGAATGACTCGGAACGCCAACGCGAAAATAATCGGTGCCACACGCCGGCCGTCCATTCACCCGTCTCGAACGCACGACAATTATCCTTTTCCTGCCAGCATTTACGCACGACAGCCGTAAAACCGCGGCTTCTTACGCATAGTTCATCGAGGATTGCATTCTTATCGCGTCATCCTCGGGACAAAGATTCCTGGTGGAAGCTCCCACTTGGTCTTTGCGCAACCCAGCATCCGTGAATGATCCTCCTTTTCTGCCTTTCGATCGTCCTCTTAGGGTGGGTTTGATTTGTCCTGAGATCAGAGGGAGACGTATATGCAGTTCCGGAGATTGATTGCCAATCGATGATAGGCTCTCGAAATTTTATGATTCAAGCTTTCGTGATCCGTATAATGAACGTGTGTCGGGCCACTCGTGAGGGTTGAAGTTGGTATATGAAGATTTTTTTTATAAAGAAACCACGAACTTGCTAAGATCTGCGTCGCAAGTATCGAATTGGTAGTGTCAATTTTTCGTGTTAGATATCAATTAAGGCGTGTGACCGAGGGATAGGGGATGAATCATGAAGAAAGAGTAGAAACTGAGAAACTTCTAGGTGGGATTCTTCTATACAAATTCGACTCATACTTTCTCTTAAAAATTGCCACAAATTCCTCTGAATGGAAATATTCCCCGTAATAATGCAAATGTTTTCTTGTAGTTCATTCCCGCGCCGTAAACCTTTAACCGTATTACGGCCCCCCCCCCCCTTTCCTTGGGAAAGGCCCCTTCGTTTACAAGCGTAGTCTCCAAATGGGACCTAATTTAAATACGTGAGTCACGTAAAAACCACATCTCGATTGAGACGATTTAATGATCTTGATCAATTTCTCGACTCGATGTGCAGACATGATGTTTGACTCGAGGAATACAGTAAATTCTCCCTAATTAGCGCTCAACTGGTACACAAAAATGGACAATTTGGGAAGAGGAGGTACGCTTATTCTCGAATAATCTCGCCTTGTTGCTAGTTTTGATAGTTACCGATTGTCAACAACTATAAAAACGAACCGCAATGCTCGAATAATCGTATCTCCTCCTCCCAAATTGTCCATTTTTGTTTCCAAGTTGAGCGTCAATTAGGAAAAATTTACTGCATCAAGCATAATCGTGTCATGCCTCGTTGCCGATTGTTCCGGCCTTCGTTTCAATGTACAAGGTATTGTGAATCGCGACAGAGAATAGACATTCGGGTACGCTAATGGTACAAGAATCGTTTTTTATTGTCTCATACAAACAATTCCGGTGACAAGTTGTCCCTGGTTGGAAAACTGTTGTGTGTGCCGAGTTTCAGGACGGATTCCGTGGCGATCACGCAGGCTCTTCGGATGCACTCGTTCATCGGAAGCGCTGGGTGATACGCTTTGAAATATGCAAGAGCTCCCAGAAATGCATCCCCGGCTCCCTGCGCATGTATAACGAATATTAGCGAAACGCGGACCGCCGTCCCTCTGAGCAGTAAATCAATTCACGACCACGGTGGTGTTCTTTCCTTCGGTGAGCGAATAAGTAATTAATTCTTCATTCTTCATCACACACAAGCACAATATAAGACTACTCATACATCTCACATTTCACACTTCCAGAAAACAATTTTCAGCAGCTGAGTGAAACATTCATAACCCGAATAAAATGGAATAAGGGCGGATATGGTCAGATGGATTTGCAAGGGCTGAAAGAGGAGGAGAGCAGACGTTGCCCTTTAATGCACTCTACTCGTTTTATTACCCTCATTTTGGTTCAAGGAATTGTTTATGAAAACTTCAAAATTAATTGTTATCAGAACGAGCGTACTAAATCAATTTACTGCAATGGCGGATTTAAAATTAATATAGAAAATCGGTTATTATTTTCGGTCATTATTTTATTTAACTATTTAGTTCACTTTAATCTAATGTTTCACGAAAACAAGAGTGATTTCGACGATATGGAGTTTCTCTACGAGTCCGTGATAAAAAAGGAATGGAAATCTTAATGATGATTTAACATTTTAAGATCAAATATGTCTCCTGAACATTCTTAAATGCTCGAGGCAATTAAAATACAAGTTTCTCTTAGATTATTAAATAGTGTACTTACAGTTGTGTCGACGGGTTGCACAATTTTGGCATTGGGAATTACAGTGGCAGTCCTACACTCCTTGGATGCGAACGCCGCTCCCAATTCTCCCAAAGTGAGAACAACCGTGTTGCAACCGCGGTCCAGCAACTTATCAATGGCTTTTTGCACGTTTGATAGCCCTAGTGTCTCCACCCCGGTCATTACTTCTGCCTATAATTCAGCCATTTAACTACTTTTATATAGAGTAAGTTGGAGAGTGATGGCCCGCTTGTTTTAAAAACATCAGTAAACTGTAGATAATCATATCAAGTAACAAAAAACAAATTATCGACATTTTACAAAAATTGAAATAGAGATTTCACTTTACACAGAGCCATCTGAATGGTAAACATAGGTCATCCGCAAAAATGGAAATAAAAATTTCATTCTATACAGGGTTATCTCACCCTGAGTANCAAGTTGAGCGTCAATTAGGAAAAATTTACTGCATCAAGCATAATCGTGTCATGCCTCGTTGCCGATTGTTCCGGCCTTCGTTTCAATGTACAAGGTATTGTGAATCGCGACAGAGAATAGACATTCGGGTACGCTAATGGTACAAGAATCGTTTTTTATTGTCTCATACAAACAATTCCGGTGACAAGTTGTCCCTGGTTGGAAAACTGTTGTGTGTGCCGAGTTTCAGGACGGATTCCGTGGCGATCACGCAGGCTCTTCGGATGCACTCGTTCATCGGAAGCGCTGGGTGATACGCTTTGAAATATGCAAGAGCTCCCAGAAATGCATCCCCGGCTCCCTGCGCATGTATAACGAATATTAGCGAAACGCGGACCGCCGTCCCTCTGAGCAGTAAATCAATTCACGACCACGGTGGTGTTCTTTCCTTCGGTGAGCGAATAAGTAATTAATTCTTCATTCTTCATCACACACAAGCACAATATAAGACTACTCATACATCTCACATTTCACACTTCCAGAAAACAATTTTCAGCAGCTGAGTGAAACATTCATAACCCGAATAAAATGGAATAAGGGCGGATATGGTCAGATGGATTTGCAAGGGCTGAAAGAGGAGGAGAGCAGACGTTGCCCTTTAATGCACTCTACTCGTTTTATTACCCTCATTTTGGTTCAAGGAATTGTTTATGAAAACTTCAAAATTAATTGTTATCAGAACGAGCGTACTAAATCAATTTACTGCAATGGCGGATTTAAAATTAATATAGAAAATCGGTTATTATTTTCGGTCATTATTTTATTTAACTATTTAGTTCACTTTAATCTAATGTTTCACGAAAACAAGAGTGATTTCGACGATATGGAGTTTCTCTACGAGTCCGTGATAAAAAAGGAATGGAAATCTTAATGATGATTTAACATTTTAAGATCAAATATGTCTCCTGAACATTCTTAAATGCTCGAGGCAATTAAAATACAAGTTTCTCTTAGATTATTAAATAGTGTACTTACAGTTGTGTCGACGGGTTGCACAATTTTGGCATTGGGAATTACAGTGGCAGTCCTACACTCCTTGGATGCGAACGCCGCTCCCAATTCTCCCAAAGTGAGAACAACCGTGTTGCAACCGCGGTCCAGCAACTTATCAATGGCTTTTTGCACGTTTGATAGCCCTAGTGTCTCCACCCCGGTCATTACTTCTGCCTATAATTCAGCCATTTAACTACTTTTATATAGAGTAAGTTGGAGAGTGATGGCCCGCTTGTTTTAAAAACATCAGTAAACTGTAGATAATCATATCAAGTAACAAAAAACAAATTATCGACATTTTACAAAAATTGAAATAGAGATTTCACTTTACACAGAGCCATCTGAATGGTAAACATAGGTCATCCGCAAAAATGGAAATAAAAATTTCATTCTATACAGGGTTATCTCACCCTGAGTAGCCGTAGCACTTAAATCATATCCCCTACGCTAAATTTTAATTTGCCAGCCGGCGACCAGCGTACCTCGGTCTCGTTCAAGCAGAATATGTCACAGAGTGATAAAAGCTCCTCGTCAATGTGTTCCATCGCAGGCGCCCCATTCAGAATCGACAGACCTATCGCATTACAGTTTACATAGCTATCATCGTCATTGAATGTGAGGGACAACGACGCGTTACCAGACGCAACTAACCGTGGCCTTTATGGAGCTTTAAAGCGTGCCGTGTACCTTCCAGGGAACTCTCCAATTGACACAATAAAACGGCAGCGTCTTTGACTACTTCAGCCGCAGCGTCCACTTGTTTTTCATTTAACGACGAGTTCGATCCTAATATGATCACTATGCTGTTTTGCCCTGAAAAATAAGTGTTTCACGGGCAGTAGTGCAACGCGTTTTACATAGTACATGGTGTATTTAAACAGTCTCTGATCTGACATTTTCTTAAAAATTTAATTTCTACGTGTTTTTTTTTTTAGACATATAATCCTCATTTTACCTGTGAATCTTGTTAGCGTAAACCTATTACTACCCTCTGCATTCAATATATTAATTTCTGTGCAGTCTTTATTTATTTATATTGTATTTTTTTTGTTAATACCTTGTGGTACTTTCGTCTAGCGCCGCTATTTACCATTTAGCTGCAAACACGACACCACCGTGGTGCCATCGGCGTTTGCTCAGCATCTTGCGTGCGAAACCAGGGTGATGCCAACGCACGGTAAAATAATTTTTTTTCAGACATGTTAGATGCACGATCTTTATTTTATCAATTGAGCTAATTAAAATGAACCTTCATAAACCACGAATAGCAACCGCCCTAGTAAAAGGTAGGCACAAGAGCACCAGATTTGATGATCTATGTGTAGATTTTATTTTTCGTTAGCGCAAGTACTTATTGAATGCATCGTGTACTAGTCTAAGCGTTATCTAAGATTCAGTATCTAAAGGCACCCTTTTGTGCAGCAATCTGAAACGATTGGCAGTTCTCCTACCGTTATCGTCAACGATGATATGCGCTACGCCACTGTGCTGGTCCTTCTGTATTTGAACGTGATTGATGTTCACGTTCTCCTTCTCAAATATTTTTAAGTATTCTTGAGCATATATGTCTGAACCTAACTATATAAAAAATAAATTTAAAGGGGATCATGATTTTTACGAAATTTTTAATTTATTAAGAATTAACACATGCACCATCAAGATTTCAGCATCATCTATCTTGAAGGTAAGTTATCATTAAATTGCAAATGCAAAATAAAAATGGTCTGCATCAATTACAAGAAACAGAAGCTTTTAATCTTCCTGCTGTGTTAATTATTACCCACATCTGTTACAAATACAGGAAATCTGCAGCCTAGCTATCTCAATGCAAATTTCAAAAATAGCTTATAATATTTGTGTATATAATATTATAATATTTATGTATACTCATGTTTTGTGTTTACGTAATACTGTGTTGGGATTAAATAATTATCTAATTGATAGTGCAAGCGTTAATTGAGTTTTGTGGATAAGTAAATGGAGATTAAAGTGTCATACGCAAGCAACAATTGCTGTAGATGCACCGAGCTTTGCGGCAGCTATGCATTGGTTTGCACCTTTGCCACCATACTTTATCTCAAAGTTTTTACCAATTATGGTCTCACCAGGTTTAGGTAAGCGTGGAGAATAGCTAAAACAAAATGTATACCTCCTATAATGGCATAAATATTTCACTCATTTTTTGATATCTAGTTCCATAGTCAAAAAACACATAATCCTGAGCATTTGAAGCTTGTTAAAAATGAAAACAAAACCTATCTACATTTCTTTGCAAAAATTGAGATACAAATATTTATTTATCACATGTGTTCTGACTTACCAAGTGAAATCAATCATGCACGAACCAACGACAACAATTTTTGGAGACATATTTTTAATTACACATTTACACATTAATGCAGAATTAAAAGTGTAAAATATTTAAGTGGTTATCTGAGTGACTTTGACGGTGAAACTGTTTCTTCTATCGAAGGCACAAGAATTACTCGGTTTATATAAACGATTAAGGCTTCCTATCAGGTTTTATCATAATTTATCGCATGGACCAATAAATCCCGTAACTGATAAATAATTTGTTTACTGGAGACATAACCTACGACATATGTACATGTTACAGGAGAGAACACAAAGGTCAACGCTGAATACATAATTTAGTAGGTTAACAGATTAAAAGATCAATACGCAAAGTTAATTTGAAAAATGTATTTTTATTCTCAATCATTTTACTTCAATGTGTATACTCGCACAGTTACTTACATTATGTGCGTGAACGTTATCAGCTCGCACGTGTTTGTAAAGAGATTAAAGATAAATTTCTGCACTTTAAAACTTGCAATCTTGCAATTCAATAATGAGAAAGAATAACAAAATTCAATGCAAAAAAGAAAAGAAACGAAAACATAAGCAATCATCGATATGCAAATAGCATTTAAAATTCAACATAAATAAAGCGGCAGTCTACTTAAAAGAGCACGTGTCGCCATCTATGTGCACATGTGCGAACTCGTACATTAAAATAGAGCTTTAGACAAATCTTTTCCATTTTAACGAAATAATAATTTAGCAATTTATGTAAATACTTTTAAGGTAAACTATAAATAACCTTTTAATTTAAAGTAATATTAATTTTTGAACGATATCATTTTATAAAATATTAATGAACATTGAATCACAATACAGAAATCGGAATGCTTTTAAAACTCCAATATGTATTACAGAGAATACATATTCTTAATGTAAAGCATTTTTCTCTGTTTTATTCTTTTTATTTCGTAGTCACATCTAAGTATCAATGCATTTATGTAAAAAGAATGTATATATATGTATGACAGTCCCACGTCCCACGTCCCACTTAATTAATGTCTGTGTAACTACAGTTTATATTTTCATTTTGTATAGAGAGAATGTCATATTTGTGTGTATTAGAAATATGTATTCTGCTTTTTAGTTTTGCGAACTTGATTTTCGAAAATCTGGTGGAAGTATTGTAAATATCTTACGATAGATTGATGACAGTAGTACATAGCTATGTATCTATAACTACGTATCCCAGATTTCATTCTTGTAAACATTGCGTTGGGATTTAAGGGAGTCATTGTTTCTTCATATGAAATTAGTTTCTATTGTATGTATTATTGAAAGTATTTATTTGACGGTGACGATTGCCCATGAAAGAGTTCCGTGAACGATTGAATAATATGTGATTTTCTTTGGAATCGACAGAGTATGGATACAGCAGTCTTGGTTGGTAAGTTTTCACTCTGCCATTAAAATCATTTTCTATGTAGATCCGACGAAACTATTGCTAAATAATATGATGACGTTAACGAAGCTCCTCTAATTAACAAGTTTTAGTTCAATACATTTTGTAGTGCGAGGGCTGAATAACTTGATCATAGATTAAGTGTATGTACTATCATTTATCATGCCTTCATTTAATCGTCGAAAGATTGAATCATTGAAACATATTATAGTATTTCTGTGTTAAGAATTTTTTGATAGAATCATTGAAACGCTACCGTGCGACTAAGTTAATTGTTGAAATTGTGTTGGCTAAAAAAATGCATAAAATAGAAATGATGTGCGCTTGATGTTAGGTATATGTGTAAGGTTATGATACGCTTAAAACATTTTTCTCTTGTTTCTTGCTAATAGAGATTTCTCGATGCAAGTTTAATTATTTATCAATAGCAAAAACAATTTGATTCTTATTTTTGAATATTTAACAACTTTGCTTATTGTATTGTGATTGTAAATGATAATAATTATGCTTTCTTGTTAACAGGTCAGTCCATGGTTTATTAAATAAGTGTAATGATCTTAATATTTTACCATGGAACAAGCAGATGTTGAAGTACAGAATAATACTGTTGAAGTACAATCGATACCAATAGTAGATATTTCCACTTCGTTTGATTCACAATCAGACAATCATGTGAGGGTCATAGAAAACATTCCTGACGATCAGGAGAATTGTCCCCAGAATTACAAGGATAATGTAGTTGAAGCTCCTTCAACTACAGATGAATATGACTTAAATATTTCAGTGGAGGCAGGTGAAGTCAAAGAAGATGAAATCATGAAAGATGTTAATGCTGACGTAATCGATAAGTTGAATGAACAGATAATTAATAGTGATACACAAGGCGTAATCGATAACAGTCCCTCTGTGGCAGTTAGCAATGATATCGAAGTCGATAATAACCAGGGTACAAAGAAAATAGTAGCAACTGAAGAGAAACAAAAAGAAATTGTAGAATCAAGTAAAGATGAAGACAACGAAAACTATGCAAAGGATAAATTAATAATTGAAGAGAGAATAGAAGATCTAAATGATGATCAAGAAAAAGATACAGATAAAGAAAAAGATGAACAAAGTCTTAAGGAAAATGTTTGTATAGTAACAGATGCTGATGCTCAGAGTCAAGTATTAAGAAAGTCTCCTGATCAGACTCTTGAAAATAAGGACCAATCTTTGCAAGTTACAGAAACAGAGGCAGATTTAACTAAACTGGTTGATAGTGATACAGATGTTATGGTTGTAACTGTAGAGTCAGTAACTCTGAATGAATCAAATGCAACTGTACCAGATCATGTTGTTGTAACTGACTCTTTAGTACTAGACAAAGATACTAAAAAAGCCGACATTGTGAAGGAACAATTTGATTTGATTGACTACAATCAGGAATCTGAGGGAACTATCATTGAAGTAATCTCAACAGAAGTAGTACAGTCTGAGGTCTCAGAAATATCAATCGAAGAAAAGGAAAACGAGTCTTCAAAACATGCAACATCAGACACTGATCCTGCAGCATCAGAAATCGCCTGTAAACCAAGAATTGTATATAATATTAGTATTAATGACGGTAAGATAGAGAAGAAACAAAATGATGCCAATCAAGAGAAAAATATAGAACAATTAGAAGCACAGTCAGATAATGAGCTAAAGACTGAAACTTGTGATAGTGCTAACAAGAGTAATGAAAAAGAAAAACATGTTAATAACGAGACCAATATCGCTTCTCCAGCCATGGATAATGTAAAAGAAGAAATTAAAGAAAATGAAATCGATAAACCAACTTCACCGTTGAAGAAAAGAAGTGTTCTTCAGGATATTTTTGATGACTGGGGAGATGAAAATACAGAGGAGGATAATCAGTCAGCTACTAAAGAACAAGACACTGTGGAAATCGAATTGAAAAGTTTATTGGACGACGTGAAAACAAGTCCAGTTGTGGAAGAAGAAACGATTGTGATCGTCAAAGAAGAAATTGCATATATAGAAACACCAATAAAATCAAATAGTGAAAAGACTATAGGAATTAAAGAAAACAAAGAGGTGCAAATATCAAAAGAACAGTCGGATAATAATAAGAATGCAAACAAGCAACATAGTGCTGTGAAGTCGCAGAAAAGGGAATCCATAAATTCTACAACTACACAGAATTTAGCTAAATCTCAAACACTGTCACAACCAAAGGTCGGTCCTCTTGTTAATCGCAGTCGCATTCTACCTTCACAAGCTGAAGTAACAGAAGTTTTGAAGGAACGATTTCGTGAGAAGCAAAAGTTGGTAGAAACTCCTCCTGGACCTGATATATTTTTTGTTAAAAAACTTACACAGAGATTGTCAAGTAAATTAGGTGGAAGCCCGATAAGTCCTTTACCTGCGCTTATACCATTGCCTACTGTTACATCCACTCCTGTAGACAAAAAAGCCACGGATAATGCAGAAACTAATAAAGAAATTAACATAGAAACTAGTAGAGAAAGCAGTTCTGATAATAAAGAATTGTTGGCTATATTAGAGGGTGATGTAGACCCTGACTGGTCAAATTTAAAGCCACCAACTTTAACAGAAGAGGGGAAAGGACCAGTAGATATTGAAGAAAGTGGTCATAACACACCACCAAAACTTGATCCTTTAGTTGAAAGAGAGTTGGCGTTGAAACAACTTCTTGAGTTACCTGTTTCACCTGTTAAGAAAACTCCCCCAAGAAAGAAGAAAACGTTCAAACCTGCACCTTCTAAAGTTATCAAGAATATAGAAGAGAAGTCAGTTCCTGAAGTAGAAAAGGAAGTCATTAGTATTGACCTAGCAAACGATTCAACAGAATCAATTTCAAAAGATGCAACACCAGATGCTGACTCATCTTTGATTATTGACACTACTCCAGAGAAGAGTATAGGTTCACATGGAAAAGAAGTACGAGGAGATGAATCGAGATCAGGTAGAAAACGAAAACTAACAGAGAAAGCTAGAGAACACGAGGAACAGCTTAATATCGTAAAAAGACAGAAAGTGTATAAAAATAAATCCTCAGTAAATAAGAAGCAGCCTCAGGATAATGAACTACAGCCTGTAGCTGATGTAATCTTAGTAACTGAGAATCACGAGTCCCCTAAAGAGGACGATACCACTATTGATATCACAATTGAAGAATCTGATTGTTCAATTACAAAGGAAGTGGTAAATAAAGAGCCTACAAATAAAACAGATTTAACATCGGATAAACTTGAGATTATGCCTCCAAGACGTCCAAAGCAAAATCTCAGCAGAAAGGCATCTCAGATTCCTAAGAGGAACATAGTTGTGAAGAAAATATTGAAACAAAACATGTCTTCTGGTAAGAAAGCTGCTTTAAAAGCAAAGCTGAATACCGCATCAAAGAAATCTGCATCAAAAGTTGCTTCAAAATCTAAGCAATCAGTGCAAAGTAGTTCTGGAGATTCCAAGCCGAAAAAAAAGATTATTAACGAAATAGATAGACTGCTCCAGGATGAGGGTGTTGTAAATTTGTTATATGACGTGGAACAACCAGATAAAAAACGTTTCATCCCTATCACTAAGTCTCAAGCGAAGGTTATGGACATCCAAAAAGTACAACGCGAACTGAATTTCCGAAAAAAGTTAGTGCGCAATGCTGTTTTAAGATTGCGTACCGCTACAACAGGTGTGTCGAAAGTTTCTCCTAGGTCAAAAAGAACTTCTATACATATAAGTGAAGTGCAACCAGATAAGAAAGTTGGAGAACAAGCTGCAACAGGAAAATCAAATTCCATTTCCCAACAAGATTTTATTTTGCCTGCGAAGATCAGAAATGCAGCGGACGCATCTATTATAATTAGAAGACATTCGTCCAGTTCTTTTTCCAGCGCATCTGGAAGTCCTAGGGTCAGCATTGACAGCCCAGAAAAAATTGAGGGAACAAAAAACGATGAAGGAGGTTCTCATACGTTGAGGTCCACGAAAAGGAGACTTTCAGATGAGGGGGCGAACGTGAAAAAAAGTAAAAAAAAAGTTGTCCAAAGAGTCGACATGGAAGCTGTAGCTGCTAATAATGTAGAGGACAAAACGCTTCGTCCAAAGAAATCAGATTCCAAAAAAAGTGATAAGAATTCCAAGCAAGTCGATGCAGCAGTAACAGAGGAAACCAGTTCAGGCAAAGTTATAACACGATCGAATGGTACAACTACAGGTAAGGTAACATCGAAAACCAAAAAATCTGCAAAGAACAAAGTTACATTTGCTAAAACAAGTGAGTCAGATAACAATGAAGAATTCTCCAAAGGAGAAGATGAACTTTCAGCCTGCCTTGCAGAAGCTGTAAGTGCTCTTTCAGTAGTCAGTGCTGGAAATCGGTCTGGAAGTTCTACAGCTAATCGTAAAAGCAAAGGTGAAATCTATGATTTCAAAGTGCTTAGAAATGTTTTGCATTCTTTTCTGTGCACTTTTTTTTGTTTTATTGGAAAATGTATATTCTTTAAGCATATGTATGTTACACGCTGCGATATTAATTGTATTTGTATTTAAAAGGAGAATAGAATATTAAACATGAATGATTTTCAGGAGCTGTGAACATAGCTAAGATATTAGAATTGGATAATAATAAGACGAAATCAGAGACAAGAAGTCAATTCAGTAATAAAGAAATCAATGTACGACGGCATGGTAATCTTGTGCAGTTAATACTTACCCCGTCATCCTCGACAAAACTTAAAAATTCTCTTACGTTGCAGGTAAAATTGTTTGAAGCTAATTACTCTTGTGGCAAAATGTCTGAGGTTTTACGAATACAATGTTTGTTTTATATTTCCAGATGATGCAAGAGTTCCGTGAAACGTTATCAATTTTAAAAAGAGACGATGACTGCAGAGTTGTTTTATTAACATCCACTGGCAGCAGTTTTTGCGAAGGTCTAGAACTTTCTATGTTACTACACACAAATAAGGAAGAACGACGACTTCGGGCTCAGGAAATGGCAGACTCTGTTAAGTATGTAATCGCTAAAATTATAAATTTAATATTAAGCGGTAATTTATTATTTTAAGAATATGAAACAATTAATTTTTTCCACGCAGAGACTTTATTAAAAGTTTAGCAACGTTTAATAAGCCAATCGTTGCTGGAGTTCAGGGCGTTGCGATTGGTCTTGGAGTAACAATGTTACCTCTTTTCGACCTTGTGATAGCCAGCGACAAAGCAACGTTTAGTACTCCGTATGGGAAATTGGGACAAATTGCTGAGGGAGCTGCCGTTTTCACGTTATCACATATATTGGGAAGTGCAATTGTAAGTGCATCAAATATATTTTATATAGTTAACGCAGAAATTTACTAATATTATCGTTTACAGACGAGCGAGTTACTTTTGGGTGGCAGAACTCTGACCGCTAGCGAAGCATTAAGGGCTGGCCTGGTTACAAGAGTCTTATGGCCTGATAGATTTCAAGTTGAACTGTTACCAACTTTGAAAGCTATGAGTGAACAATCTTCGCAGGTATGCATTATCACAGATTTTTAAACAAAAGGCAGTATGCTCTGTATGCAGGCCCAGAGTAAAGTAATTCCTGAACGTTCTCAGTGGTTCTGTTCTTAAAAATACATAGGTGTTTCTCTGGACAAGAACATTTGTAATACGTTGTGTACAAATCGGATCGTATATGGCCGCAAAATTCATCTCTTTCACACTTTCTTTTCTATAAAAATATTAATAAAACTTATTGAAACATATACAGTATATATATAATCGAGAGTACAAATTTTTGAATGTGCGAATACATTTACCTTGATGCATTTGAAAGTTTGCGTGATAAGATCATCATTCTCGTACGTGTACTTCTGTAGTCTCCAATAGTGTGACTTTGGACAGACACAATTTAACGTTATATTATACGGTATTAGATAAGAATTAGCACTGTCACTTTTGCCGTAGACGTTGGCAGCTTCATCTTTGTGAGTACATACATCCATGTCTGTCGTTGGATTACAAAACTGTGAATTAAAAAATGTCAGAAAAATTATAATCAGATTTTAAAGGGCGGAGTCATAATTTCTACCTCCATGCGCGACCTATTATTAAGCAATTGAGACGAATTTCCGAATTGTAAATTCCATTGCCATGGACATTCTTTGCCATTAGGACAACGACACAGTCTTTCAGTCAAGCTAGACATCCAGAATCGGTCGTGAATCACATTACACGCCTCGTTAATTGCACAATGATGTAAATCACTTTCTCCATCTATCTGTATCAATAGTATATGTTAAATGTTAAATCTTAATGTGCAAAATTTTAAATGTTTTTACTTTTGCATACCCCATCCATGTACTTGAAAGTAACATTGCTTGATTTACTATTGATTATAACATAATAACCGAAACACCTGATTGTTGAGTGTAACAGAAAATAAATAAAAATCAACGCTTTCATGGCACAGATGTACTGTAGAATGATTAAACGTTTAAGAACTGTGTCACTGATGACATTAGAGTAAACCTTATACACTACAGAAGTAACGTACGTGGGAACCTGATGAATATTTATACTATACATTTCATTGGACAATTGTTATTGACTCTTCTATTGGTTTATCTATTTTCCAGTCCATGGAAGCCACAAAGGCCCTATTACGTCACAGCCTGAGGAAGAAATTGGACGCAGCATTGGAGTCAGAGACGTATTTACTAATCCAGCACTGGTGTTCTGCAGAGTGTCAAACTGCTATGAAGGCTTACGTTGACGGCAAAGTCCAGTGAACATTCAAATGGTAATCATACATACGTTTTCTCTGTACATTTGTCTTGAATTATTTGTACTTTACATATATGAATAGAAAAAATATTGAAAATAATATTAATATTAATAATAATATATGGGATAATAATTTTGATGGAGTATTACATATAGTGGTAAACATTTTATAAATGTGTATAGCAATATAGCAAAATGTAAATACATATTTGTCATTTGTTATATATAATTTGTATATGAAGCTGTACAATATATCATTTCTTATTAAAACGATTGTCTTGCAGTCAGTTCTCATGTTATTAATGGCACAAAATGTTGTGTTGAATTAATGTTCGTGCAATATATAAAATATGGAATGAAAAATCGTTACGATGTACCAAAGTAGCAATTTTATTTAAAATTACAACATACTGCAAACTATAACATAGAAAATAATTGAAGAGTGACGTAATAAAAATAAAATTATGTGCTACAGATGCCCAACGATTTGAATGGAAGTACTAGCCACATATTCCGACACAACAACTAGTATTGTAAATTGGGTACGAAGAATAATAACAAGATAATTAATTCGGGAGACATTAAAGTGAGAAAAGGAATCGTGATTCCGGTGTGTTAATTAACATCAATGCACGATTATTTTTAAGATAAAACAAGTAATAATGTCGAATCATTCGATCAGATGGACTATTTTAATATTAGGTCGTTTAAGCACATACACTTTCCGTAACATGTTATTCTTGCTAGAATAAAAATAAAACGACCATCATAAGCACTGTGGTTGATATTGTGTTCTTTACATATACATATATTTGAATTGATTAATCGTGAATAGAGTAGTTGCAAAATTACAAATTATTTCAACTTTAGTATAATTTTTTTAAACTTATTGTACTATCGTGCCTTGGTGAACTTGTAAAAAAATAATGGAGACCACTAGACATAGAGGAAGAAATTTGTAATTTTTACTCTGAAAAAGCAA